CTTGGAGGGCCAGAGGGAGGCAGTGATGAACCAACTGATGAAGGTCAGGAGTTTTCTTCTGATTCCATGAGCGACCACACAGAACCTGCTGTGGAACTTGCTAGAGGATTAGAGGCTACAGAACCCCTAGACCCCATAGAGCAGCTGGAGCTGGCCACAGGAGCTGGCATGATGCCAGAACAACAAAGTGAATCCAAAGGAGAACAGAAAAGACAGACCGAAGATTTGGAACCAAGTGGGGAACAGAATGAGTTGGGGACAAGAGGAGGAATTCAGTTATTCTTTCAGGTGAGTGCTTGCAAAACAGAATGGAGGGACTAGAAGAGTTTGTTTTGCATGCACTTTAATTCTGTCATGACAGTTGGGTATATGATCTTGTGCTTGTGTTGTTGTAGGGGGAGGTACATAGTGCGGGGGAGATGGCCCAGCGCAGAGCTCTCCTGTTCGAAAAACAGCAGAAGAGAACTGAGGAGCTGAAGAAGAGGAGACAGTGGCATGAGCAAGAAGAAAACAGGTAACACAGAAAAACACTTTCATGAATACACCTGCACAAGGCTTGGATGCTCACAGAGTTCTTTGCATAAATTTTTTTAACTAATAAGCCCAAAATTGAGATGCACCCATGTAAAAGTAACCTTATTCCTCTTGGTTTCAGACCAGCATTGTCAGACATAAGAGTGACTTCTCCCTCCAGAACACCCCCAACAGACACAACCTCACCTTCCCCCACACCTCCTGCCACCCCGGTCCGCCGGGGAGATTTCACACGAGGTGAGTACGCACGGCGGCAACAACTCAGGATCATGGATGACTTGGACAAAGTGCTTCGGCAGAAATCAACCAGTCAAGGAGGATCTTCCGCTAAGAAAACACGTTCTCGGCCTCGCAGCATGACCAGGGAGGAAACACGGCTGTCTCTGAGCCCAGCCAAGGGAACAACTGGTAAAGTCAAAAGTGAAAAAAAGGTTATTAACAAATGAAGTGTGTTAGATGATTTCAATGACTAAGCTGTGTTAATGTCTTAATATTTATGTTTCTCCAGGCTCTAAGTTGACCAAAGTCTACTCTCACTCCTCCCTCAACCTGGCAGCCACGGATGAGTCAGGAAACAGATGTGCTGACCCCATTAAGAAACCCCAGAGGTACACTACAGCATAGGTCATTTATATGGCTCTTGTCTATCATAATATCGTTTTTAGTCACAGTCTTTTTAGTCCAACCGTTTCATCCAGAGTGAAATACCTCGCCAACTATTGGATGGATTGCCATGGTCCCTGAAGGATGCATCCAGATGACTAGAATGGTCCCCAAATGTTTTGTCTTGTCAAAATTTTCACTTATGCAGCTGAGGAGTAGAAATTTCATGGCAAGGGACCTCTAAAATGAATGATCACATGCTAAATGTAATCATACAATAATAATATCCTAAATGATGGTTAGTATAGATTTTAACAATGCTAAGCATAAGCATGTTACTATGTCGAGGTGACTTTGAGGTAAATAAAGGTATACCCCCCAAGCAGGGACTTTTTGGGGGGTAAAATAGAGAACCCAGAACTAAATTTAGACCCTGGTCCTTTTGGTGGAAACGCAGTGAGTTCCTCCAAAGCAGCTTTTGTGTCTCAACACTGTTCCAGTCATGTGTAAATACTGTTCATTGGCTTACTCAAATAGAAGTGAATTACAGCCAAAGAACTGGAGTTGTGTCAGCATGTTGAATCCCTTTTTATCAGACTTTGAGAGTGGTATTCTCCAGTATAATACAGATATGAGGTGATTATTGGTTCATTGTTTGAACTTTCTCCACCAGCCGTCCTAATTCGCCTGCAGGATGTGTGACACCAAGTAGACTGGCAAATCATAACAAGGATAAAGACGGGGAGAATGGTTCCAATGGAACCTCGCCTGCCACAGAATACACAGGTAGTACAGTGCTACCCAGTGCAGTATCTCTCAATTCTTGAGTACACACATTACCAAATGCTTACAATTGTACACATGGGTTAGCATAAACAAGTGTGCCTGTGTTTGTATTTGTAGGTCCAAAGCTTTTCAAAGAACCAAGCTTCAAGTCCAACAAATTCATCATTCACAATGCTCTCTCTCGCTGCTGCCTCGCTGGAAAGGTCAACGAGACACAAAAAAACAAGATAGTTGAGGTAGAGGATTCATTTTACTTTACTACTCATAACAATCATTTAAATCTTGTGAATTCTGTTACTAATGCATTTTTAGGCACCAAACTAGGTTATTTGCATGTTTGAAGATCATACAAGCAGATGAAGGCTAAAACACATATGATTTCTCTTACTTCCACCTTTTTCGAACCCCAGGAGATGGAGAAGAGTCCTGCCAACCACTTCCTCATCCTCTTCCGTGATTCCAACTGCCAGTTCAGGGGCGTTTACACCATGAACCCCGACTCCCAGGAGCTCGTTCGAGTGGCTGGCGTAGGCCCGCGGACAATTGGCTCCACCCAGGTGGAGTCCATCTACAAGTACAGTTCTGATAGGAAGCAGTTTAGTGCCATCCCCTCTAAAACAATGGGCATGAGTGTGGACGCCTTCACCATCTCCAGCCATCTTTGGCAAGGAGGAGCAGGAGGAGGAGGAAGCAGGAGATCAAGCGTTACTAAGAAGGCAGTCATTTCCAAGTGAGGATTATAACACATCACAGTGACAGATCATTAAAGAGAACACTGTAATCACACTGTAATTATAGTGAAAACTATCATATGGAGAACAGTAGGAGCAGGAGAGCAAGCATTACTAAGAAGGCCGTCATTATCATTTCCAAGTGAGGATTATAACACTTGATAGTGACAGATCATTACAGAAAACACAAGAATTATAGCGAACTGTAGTCAAATACAAAAAACAGTAATATGCACACAGAAGGGCCTTTACCCATGTGTGCATACATAAACCTTACCTCTCTTGCCCCTGGATTTTACTACAAATACAAAATATAAAAAAATAATTTGTACTTCTTAACGTATCCCCTTAACGTGCATGACAATGTTAACAGCACAATTTCTTTTGCTAAACAGAGGCACACTCATATCCAGTGTACAGAGGAAGGTTTTGTAAAATGTTAGGTTAATTGCACAAGGAAGAGTTACTTTTAAAAAGTCTCATTACTTATACTTTCGTTGTTTGAAGTACAAACTCAAAAATTACTTTTTTCCTTGAAAGGAAACAGAAACTTTGTTAAGTTGTTTATTGAAAAACACTGACTTTAATAAGCCGCAAGATTGCCATCTGTTCCCTCTCTGGTTCTGTGGACTCAAGTCTTCAAATAGAACACCAGTTTTATACATTAAGCCAAACAACAGAGAAAATTTCTTCTCGTCACAGAGTGACTGGCAGGACTATCTTCTACAACTTTCATGTTCAATTCTACCAACAAATGTCAGTAGGTGGATCAAAGTAAAAATTTGTTTTGAAAAATGAAAGATAGCCATAACCATGTGATGCAGAGAGCAGAAGTGAATGTCAAAGATCTGTGAATGTGTGAGTGGTTTTCAGATATGATTACCGCAGCATGAATGGTTATTTACTGTATGTGGTATAAGCTTATTTCAAAATAATATCACAGTGAAAACTTCTGGTTTGAGGAAACTATGTTGATATGTATGAGCACCAGATGCCAATTAAATAACACCAAAACAAATAGCATATTGAGGTTGACGTATCATGCCAAGCTTACATTTAGAAATACCCGGATTGTTGCGCTCTCACTCAGGGATGGGTTCCAATAGCTGGATCCGTGACCAGGGAATCACTTTTCGAATCTTTTATTCACAATGTCTCTCAGATAGCCTCTTGTACCTATTTCTGACACTACATGCATCTGCAAAAACATGCACTTAGTCATCGACACGGTTATTAGAAAGACTGACTGACTGAACATGGTGGACCGCCTTAACTTAAACGTTTCGAAATCAACGAAACAAGTCTTGTCAATGTTAAAGTATGAACTTGTGGCATTTTTGATAACTTGAGAAGGACTGCCGGTGTTACACTGTAATCTGTAACCTGTAGCAGAGCAACAATGAATTTGCCATCAGATAACGTTAAGTGCATAATACATGAAGAGAAATTTGTGGTTTAGGTGATATTTACTGAATTATAAAGTAGAATTAATATTATTTCCACCGTGTTGTTTTTATTTCAGCTTCTACAGCTTCTGCAGCCCCCCAGTGATTCAGATTTGATAAAATGCTATTGAACCCCATCACTACCTTTGGTAGAGTGCATACAATTAAATTGTGTTTCAGACAAGCATTCGTATATGAAATCACAGACTGGATTAAACTCCACTGATCAAGCCGTTTCTCTCTTTCGTTCTTTCTTCCTGGTTTCCTGCTCCCCCCACATGGCCTGTTGTTTCTCTCACACTGAAAAATGCAAATCTTGTTGACAGCAGTCAGTGTAACCAGTGTTGAATGTGTGTCTTGATAAGATGTGACATTGGTTAACAACTGCAGTCGGACATTCATGAAATGTATGAGTTTGGCCTGTAAACAGAATTTCTCAGCCAACTTCTTTTTACGTTTTGGGAGCCATGCTACTAGGTCTACTAAGGGGCCAGCTGCAGAGGTTTGAGCACAGTTGGCAGTGATGCATCTCTTTGCATTGTGGAAAACAATTAAATCTGCATTAATAACTTTTTGCCCACCGCAACAAGCCAAATATAGCCTACAACATTGACATATTACTTTATAAACTTAACACAAAGCATACCTGGAACAGTTGCAGGTCCTGGAGTAACCAACCATGACACAGAGAAGAATCACCAACAACACGGTACTTTCACAAGACTGGACAAAGTTTAGTGCAAAGATGTACCCAATGAGCAGGTGAAGGTAAGTGTGCACCGCAGTGTTATTCCAGATACTACCACCAAATGGTGACAAACTAAGGAATTTAAGGACCTTATTAGACAATCAGAATAAGTAAATTATTCTCTGGGTTAATCAAGTCCAAGTATACAATGAGTCCAACAAGAGTTTGCTTTTTTATTGCACCTTCCTCAGAACATACAATATGTAGCTCAGATGCACATAGATAGAGAATGTAATTTATTTACTTGTATTGCATTGGCTGGTCAGTCGTGATTCTTTGGGATCTTTGGGGCAGTCCTAACTCTTTTAGTTAAGGCTCTGGGTAGCTTTCACACAAACGCTTACCAAACAGTTTGCCAAAGACTAAGAAGTAAGACATGGGATTGTTGTTGACTGATTTTCTTGGTACAGATACACCGAGAAGTACGTTCAGGATTTAACATTTGGGCAGAACTGAGTTAGGGCTTTACTTTCTAGAGCAAAAAACTAGGTTAAAAGTTCTGGTGCTGGTAGAACACACCAAGAATGAAATAACATGGACTTCAGAAGTTTAGGGGAAGTAATTTTTAAACATTTTGATAGAATTTGTTTTTGTATCATGGAAACAGAAAACGAATCACTGTACTTAAGGGGATCAAAGATGTGCTTATTAATTCCTGAAACATTTTGCTGTAAGTTAGTGGAAGGAAAATCAGTCTTTGTAAAGATTTAGGTTTTACACTTATATTTGGAATTTACGTGTGTGAATTAGACTTTCTGTGATTCAAAGATGTAAAATATTTGTAAAATTTCATAAACGACTATATAGAGCCACACAGTTTTAGTTATTATGTTTAAAGCTGCATCAAACATCCCAAGAAATGTGCACACTGAATTTACAATTATTCACCACATATAGCATAAAATTAACTGACACAAAGCTAAACAGAGAGTAGAAGCTTGTAGGATGTTATGGCTGGAAACCATTGATAGCAACGCAGAAGAATCACTTATCACAGCGTAAAAACTTAATTTACAAGAGTGGAAAGAACACATTATTACTGGTAAGCTTCCTCTGATTTATTGGCCTACTGTGGTTAGTTCCAGCACTTCCATTGAAGTCCCATTAGCTGCTAAGTTAGTTTTAGGGTTAAACTGATGTTAAACAGCATCCATCCCTGCCTTCAGTTTTATGATTCAACACAAAACCTTGAATTCTAACTAATACATACATCTTAGTTCATCCTATAATGCAGCTGTATGATAACCTCAGAACGACAAAGTGCACAAGCATGTGTTTGCTGATACAGGAAGCTGCAGGTGCAAAGCTGTGACAGAACATATAGTTAAACACTAAGTGCCATAATGAGGAGTTGGTGTAATACGTAGGAAGAAGAGAACAGCTTGTCCATCTATCACGCAATCATTTTTCACCTCCACTGCTCCACTTTTCTGTTTAGATTCCATGTTTATATACCTGGAACAGCTGCTTTAATCAATTCTGACTTTTGCTAATGAGCATCATTTGGCTCAACCGCAGGACTACTGTCAGCTTGTTTGTCCAGAGAGCTGTGGGCTGTGCTGTTCCACAGGGCAGCGTCAGACTGGGGCTCCAGGGACGGGCTCACAGAGACGGGGTCGGAAGAGTTGGTTGCTGGGTCCAGCAGGATCTGGGAGGAGGTAGGTGTGTGGCTGAATGCAGCATCAGCGGGTAGGTTGGATGAAGGACTAAGGGGAGCATTAGATGTGGGGAGAGCGGGTGTGTCAGAGGGTGTTTGTGAAGAGGAGTTGGATGTTGTATTTAAAGACAGGTTGGAGGGAGTGAGTGAAGGCGAATCAGAGAGTGTGTGTGGGAAAGGGTCAGACGAAGAGTCTGTGGGTGAGTTGGTCAGAGTCGGCCTTGGTGTGTGTGCAGGGGTCGGTTCCTGCGGATCTGTGCAAACTACCTCCCCGTCGGCCACATACCACACCTCATTGTGCCTGTTCAACAACTTCAAGGGACTACACACACACACACACACACACACACACACACACACACACACACACACACACACACACACACACACACACACAGGAAAAGAGCAAGAGAGACGAACACAACAGTAAGAAGTGAGCGATGTGTGTGTTGGTGTGTATGTAATCCGTCAAGAATGATTTTCTCAGGCCACACAAATGTTAATTGTATTGTAATTTTACTAGGTTACTATAATTAAAGAAAATTGTAATATGCATCTAATGTGTTTATCACTTTAAACATAGTACTACTCATGCTGATTGGCTGATGGCAACTGTTCTTTTGGCATTGTGCAAAATTACAAGTCAGGATCATGATGAGTTGTGACTATCTTTTTGTTTATCATGGTGTGTTGCGCCATCTAAAAGTGAAATGATGTTAAACTGCACAGAAACTCGGAGTAGGTTTATGCCACTGTCATCTAAATTTGGTTGCAACTCGGTTGAGTTTAAGAGTTATGGCTGTTAATGTCAATTAGGCAACACAAAAGAATTTGGCAGCCAATTATAGGAAAATGACAAAGAATATCAAAAATTATCAAATTTCAATATATATGCAAAATTTGGAGGACAATGTTAAAGAACTAAAACGTGAAATAGTCATAAGTTATTCCTGAGAAAAAAGTAGAAACTCAGAAAAAGAGAGTATTTGTGGACGTGTGTAATACCTGTCATAGCCGACTCCATAGTGGTAGCTGTGGTTGTAGGACGCCCGGACTCTCCCCAGTTCTTTAGTCAGCAGGTGAGCATGAAGCCTGGAAGTGACTGACAGCATCCAGCCTCCGTAACTCCTCACATAGACGTCCATCTCTGGCATCTCAGTAAAATACAGCTGTGCAGAAGACACGGACGCAACATTAGAGAAAAAGGGATAAAAGCCTTTGTGATGAGTTTTATGGAAACATAAATCCCGAGCTAAGTGTAAAGAAATACTAATGTGAAATGAATGTATTAAACATTTATAGATGTTATAGAAAATAATTAAGTTTATGTTTTTTTACATTGTAGTGTAAGTGCATGAAGTATAAGTATATATCACTTAAAAAAATACATTAAATTAATGTCAATCATTGAGCTGAAACATGAACATATAACATGTTATGAACTACTAGCTTAATTATTAGCTATAGTCTATAGTTTTAGCAAATCAAGCCAGTGGTTGTAGTCTGTTATATAAATGTTAGCTGCCCACAGCCAGTAATGGAGAAACAGAACAGAAACATGACTAAACAGTAGGTAAAAATTAATTGATGTAAATAAAAATATAAGTTACAGAGTGCCTACTTTGGTGGATGTGGGTGACTTTAAATGTGTAATAAATAGGTAGAAATCATTAAAACATAAAATTCCAATAGATCTACTCCTAACACGACTGAGTATATTTAGGCTATTTAATTTGTGGATGCCTACAGCCCATTTAAGATGAACCAAACAGATTAAGAATGTACACTTGCAGACTCATGAAATCATAAAACAGATACAGAACCACAGCACTGACAACATCATGAGGCAGCACCATCTATTTCTATTCTGCTGAGTGAGTGAAAGCTGGACATCCATCAACTCTCTCTATTGATCTTAGAGGAAAAATAAACGATCACATTACATATAGACCCCGGGAGGATAAATGCATTTGACCTCATGACTGGCAATGGAAAGCTCAGGAAAAAGTGCTTCACCCTGCACCTAAAGGCTCTTTCACCCACATCCCTCACCACCTGTCATCTCACCTTATCATTGGTGGGTGCAGGCGGCTTCTCCTGATAGGCTGCCGGCAGCGGGAAGTTGAGGGTGTAGACAGCCGGCTCCCACATCTTGGTCTCCTCTGGGATCTTGACCAGGACAGGGGCGGTCATCTCCATCTGGATGCCTGTCCACGACACACAAACACATACACCCATAGTCACTCGAGCCAACCAGTGGAGGCAAATGGCCGCCCAACCCGAGTCTAAGTTTTGCTCGAGGTTTCTGAATGTTTAAAGGGAGTTTGTCCTTGCCACTGTCACCAACTGCTTGCTCATGGCGGGAACTGTTGGGTGTCTGTAAATAATATTACTATTAGTACGGTCTAGATCTGCTCCTGTTTTTTTTAATTGCTGCTATATAAATACAATTTATTTGAATAACACACTCTTGAGGGCTGATTTTCTGCTTCTGTCCTGTTCTTACCTCCTTCATTGGTTCCAGTGATGTACTGGAAAAGTCTCCTGAAGGCCATGGCTGCACCCACGCCCATGAAGTAGGCTTCAGCGTCTGTCGACACCCAGCGAGTGGGGCTGTAGTGTCGCACCTGAACGAACAGACACACACACACACACGGAAATATGTGAACAAAACTGTCAGAGAGGTAAACAGCTTGATGGGAAAGTATATGTGCTGTTTGACTGGCCATCCACCCACCTCATATTCATCTGTTTTGCAGACCAGCTCGTATTCCAGACATTCCTTTGACTCTGTGCAAAAGCTGGTGTTGGTACTCGGCCTATAACAGAGTGATAATTGCATTAATTTACTTATGTATCCACACTATATGGCCAAATGTATATGGACTGGGCGGTTTCATGGTTAGTGATAGGCTGCTATAGCATACAATGATATTTTCGACAAAAGTGTGATTCAAACAGTTTGGGAAAAGCCCTTCCCTCTTTAAACATGATAATGCCCTCGTGCACAGAGCCAGGTCACTAAAGAAATGTTTCTTCCACTTTGGTGTGAGAGACAGAGCCCTGACCTCAACCCCATCCAAAACCTTTGGGTTGAACTGGCCTTATCTCCCAACATCAGCGGAAACGAGATGGCAAGCAAACTTTATTCACATAGCACTTTTTCAAAACAGAAGTTACAAAGTGCTTTACATGAAGAAGACGTGGGAAAGAGGGAAATAGATGAGTCAGAAAAGACACTATATTAAAACAAAGACAAAAGCCAAATATAATAAATGTTTTTTTTAAATGCTGTTTCAGAATGAGCAGTGGTTTGGCTTCTCTGAGACTCTGCAGGCTGTTCCAGACTTGTGAAGCAACAACAGATCACCTTTAGTGTTCAGCCTTGACCTTGAAACAGCCAGCTAGTCCCTGCTCCTCCCAGTGGTCAGAGGGCCCAACAACTCAATTATTAGAGAGGGGTATGACAATGGATTGCCTTGTTTGTTGAATGTAACATGTGGTAACAGTGCCCAACCCCAGTAATGCTATTGGGGCTGAATGGGTTGAAAAAACAAAACACTGCAGCCAGTTAAAAGCCTTCCTAGAAAAGTGGAGGCATTATGGCAGCAGATTAATGCCCTTTGTTTGGAATGATGTATTCAACAATGACAAATCAAATGTAGTGACTTAGGTGTTAGGAGGAGTCATAGATTGAATCACCATCTAAAATTAACCCATTCTGTCCACATGTTACGACTCTTCCAATTAAATTTGAAATAGTTTAATATACATAAGAGTGAAATGTCCACATACTCTGGCCATGTAGTAAATCTAACTGAAACTATCAACTTACCCAACACTTCCTTCAGCAGAGACCACAAGGGCCAACATTGCCAAGACTGAGGTGAAAGCCCTGAGGAAGGACAGAATACATCTTTAAAATATATTTAACATGCACTTATTGAAGACTATAATACTTCAGGGACCAACAATATAGCAGTATGATGATATTTTGCAACAAAAAAAGGATATCAATTGATTTTATAAAGCTTTGACAGTATATGCATGTCAGTGTGCTGCATTCTGGTGTTTGCACTGCAGAGATGAAATGGGACACGTTTTTCTGCTCAACGCAACGCAAAGCAAAGAGGGAGAGATCTGCTGCATCATCAGGCTCTGCCTTCTCGAAATCAAAGGCGTTTTGAGGTCATGGAGGAACCGCGTGCAGTAGCTCATTGCATCCACTTCATCATAACCTTTTTAACAGTTTAATTTGAACAAACGCCTGATTTGAAACAGTTTTAGAAGAAAAAAAAATAGGTTATTTAAGGACGGAATGGATTCCCTCAAAATACAATCACCAGTTCCGTTATATGTGTATCTGCTGCATTTATGTTTTAGCACAAGTGTTACAGCAGCCTTTAAAATATTGAATTTAAATATTTCCATGCACGCACAACCGATCAACAATGACGCAAAAATCAACTTTACCTGTCCATGACGCTGCAGAAAAGGCATCAGAGCTGTCAAACATTTCTAAAGAAAATTCTTACAATCTACCTGTGTGATATTTATTTAAACTATAAAAGCCTATGTAAGAGCTGATACTCACATTTCTCTGGTCCCGTGTGTGTGTGTCCTTTCCACCTGCCAGGGGAGCAGGGACGCGGAGTGTGATGGAGTCTGCAGTCTGCTGCACTCTGACGGGCGCCGGTGAATTTACTGCGGACTGCGGTGAGGACCGGCATCCGCCTGAAGCTCGCAGGAGGGAGGGGCTGGGCTGGCACCAGGCTGCAAACTACTGGACAGATATTATTTTCCTGTTATTACCGCGAGTTCACCTCCAGAGCTGCAGCAGTGAGATTAGGAAGTCTGGCATCCGCCATCATTAATCCACCATGCTGTTTAGACATGAGAGGATGGAGACGATGAAGTCCCAGAATTTCACTAACTCTCTGATGTGGGTTTTTAAGGGTCTAAAGTATGTTTGTATTGCAATATAGTAAAACTGAGCTGTATTTAGAGTCCAAATGGGGGGTGCACGCTCTTTAACAAGCTCATTTAGGGACCGCACTGTGAAAAAATAACGCTAAGGTTTTAGATGTGGGCCAATATGTTTTGAAGGATTTCCAGATTGTAGGCTATTACCAGTTAAGGTGGTTTCCATTTATTTAGATATGCCATGCCAGTTATAATAAAATGTCAGCCAAAAGTCAAAAACAAATCACAACCCCCCCAAAAAACTAAAATTATATCAATGTTGAAAGAAAAAAAAAAAATCACAATAATAATTAGACCAATCTTGCAGTTCTGCTCTGGAAACTTGTTTAAGTTGTGTAAGCAAGCAGTTTAAGTCAAGTCAGAATTCATTTTTACCCATAGGCTATTACATTATTAATACTGCAGGGTAAAGGCCATGAAAACTTTGTTTCAAATCTTACTATTTAACTATAGGCCTACCATTAAACATGACGAAATCGGTAACAAATCTGTTTTACAACTGTTTTAACTTTGGCTGAAGATAATAGCGTTCATGTAGGACCCTGTCGTTCACGAGAAGCTGATTGAGAAAATGTGCTTTCAGGGTCTTTAAATGGAGACTGTAAAAAGAGTCTGCCATGCAGCAGTCACGGTGGTAATGTAACTTTTACACAAATGTATGTAAACTTGGTATTTACTGTGCGGGTTTCAGCGATTTTGTTATAAAATGGCTAGTTTGTTAATCAACATGCTATTAAATTAATACACTGAACTATGCAGCAGGTGTGAAATTGATATTGGGCTTTGAGAGTTATTTTTAATGGAAGGCCTGTGTAACAAAGTGGGGGGGTTGAGTAAAATATGCTATTAAGTTGAATTATGAGAGTTTGAGACATACAACTAAAAATCAGGAGATATTGAGCGCTATTATGTGTTCCCCTTATTTAGGGAAATGCAATATTAAATCACTGTTTTCTATAAAGCACAGCTTAAAAAACAAAACACATACATATAACAGCTTCATTTGAGACCTTTCTAGAACACCAGCTTTATTGTGACAGTTCAAACAGACATCAAACAGCCCTCTGTAACAAGCACAAAACCTTTTCTGCTCAACTGGATTACTGACTGTTCGCTCCTGTCCACCCAGGGGCAGCACACCAGCTCCTGGAGACACATTAACACTGTAAACAGAGTGCAGCTCTGTCAGACACCCCTGTCCAGGACTGTGGTTAAAACTCAGTTGTCTTTCCATGAATCCTGTTCCTGTTTATTAAAAAGGAATCAAAAAATCTCTTTGAAACTGAACCTGCCTCATTACGGTCTGAAGCACTGTCTATAAAGCCTCTATGCAGTTCTTCTGAAAGTGTTATGTGCCTCCTCTGTAAATTATTTACAAATACCTACGCCGCCCAGCTACACACACATTTCTGATCTTTCACCAATAAGTCATCAATAATTAATAAAATAAGCTTCACATCAAGAGCAAGAAGGTAAAACCAAAAGCAGAGAAATTCAAAAATGATCAGTTAGGTCATGTCCTGGAACAGCACAGCATGGCCAGAAAGGCAAAAGAAAACAAGGCTGCCGCTGAACACAATTAGGGCCACTGCTCCGGTTATTTCAGAGACTGATCATAAAAACCTTTTAATTCATTAACAGGTCCACATGTCACCACCTGAGCTGAATTCACAGGGACGCGAGTTGACCCCAACCACTAAAGCACTAAATTACAATAGCAGTCCATGTGACGGACTGGAAGGAGCTCTTACCTCTCCAACACAAACAATAATACTGAAATATAACTTTTCAATTTGTAGTAAGTAAATATATTGAAATATACAACCTTTTACATCCATATATTTCAATATGCAAATCAAATATATGAGAAAAAAGTGACATCTACTGTATTGTGTGGTGATATGATGAAGTTGTATAATGAGCAATGGGACATTACAGACCCCCGAATAGAGGGAAAGAGAATTAACATGTTGAGATTGTTGCCTAATTTTTAAATATATACCAATAAGCCTTTTACCCGAGTATGGGCTATTGTCTCCAAATGGAAGAAATCCTGTGTTGTTTCATCACATTCACACACACGTGTACTCACATCACACCAAAAGGTACGGCTAAGAGGCTCACAGAAGTACCGTTTTAAATAACTGATATAAATACAACGGAAAGTCTTTCTCTAAAATGGTATTTATCTTTGGAGAAAGAGAGAGAGAGTCTGAGAGAGTGTGACAAGAGAGAAATGAAACTAAGAACATCTGAGCTCCTTTCCATATCTCCACCCATCCATGTGGCACAAGCCCGTCTCCTTCTGAAACCATTCAGCGTTTCTGGGTGGAGGTGTTCTGAAGAAATTGGGAGTGTCCAACAAAGTTAGTCCTTTTTTTTTTTTGCATAGCCAGACAGTGGGCACGACCACTGCAACCACAGAGTTTCAAAAGGTAAGCTTCACTTGGGGGTAGGGGAGCCTTGGTCCATGTGCATCCCTTTTTACCAGCAGGACTAGGGATGTTTAGTGGGTCCCCCACCAAAGATGCAGCTTCCCGCTCACAAGGTGGACTCTTTCTGGCGCTCGCGTCCATTACACGTTTTCTTGACTTTGGAAATACCCTCCAGTGCACCAGACTCAGTTACTCTGCACAATATGAGAAACGAGAGGAGGAACAGCACTTTATTTACACAGTCTATTTTAATCAAACCCTTGTGCCTGATGAAAAAGCCTGCTTTATTCTCAGAGTGATAACTCTGGCATAACACATATACATACTGTTGTAATCAGTGTGACTTTCAATTCATAGTAGTATCTCTGATATCAATCACACATAAAGACATCCATAAAACCACTTAGAAATCACAGTGGGGGGAAAAAAAGGAATCCACTCCTTACAGGTTCAAGCCTTATCACTGCTGTGTTTAGATGTTTTCTTCAGCAATGCAAATAATCCAGTGATTGTTGTTTGTACATTTGTAAAGAAAATAGTAAAGAAAATAGGCAGTGAGGTGAGCTAGTACGCTGCATTCACCGTCTCCATGGTAATATTATAATTCACCTAGAGCATGATGGGGAAATTATCTCAAATCTTAATTCCATGAGAAATTAAATTAAGAATAGATGAAATTAATTTGACTCTATTAGAACTAATCTATGGTAACATTATATAGTATGCCTAGCTAACAGCTCCTCTACACAAGAGGAGAGACCCTCGACCCGAAGTGTACTTTATGCTTCTTTTTCTCTTCCGTTTTATGCACGTAACTGTTAAAGAATCTTAGGTGTCTTAATTGATGTAACAGGGAAAGATGAGACAGTTCTAGCTTAGAGTCATTAGCTGACCCCACAAGTGTTCACTGACCTTCCAACTCTAGTTATTTCTCTCATGTAACTGTCCTTGTTAAGGAGACAACAGTTAGATTGATGGAGCAGAGATAGTGGCTCAGGCGACAGGCTAGCATAGATCGGTGTTCTCTAGGAATCTTACAAGTTTAAGTCTTACAAGAATATTTACAAGGCTCCACAGATTAGAGTACAACTCATGGATAGAATAGATTCCAATATGACGTAGCGTGGGAGTCTAAACATCAGATATATTAGTTGTTCTAGGTTAAGGCCAGCTAAAAATGACCTGTTAGGGGAACCTACAGGGTCTAGAGGGAAGAGAGAAACACAAAAGGGACCAAAAGATGTTATCCTTGAGATCTGGTGTTGGCATATGATGTGCTCACATGTTGTATGCTAGCACTGTATCTCCTCCGCCGGGCTCAATAAACCATGCTATGTTAAGTCTTCAACAGTCTCTTAAACTTCTTCACAACTGAACCTGGCTCACAATATTTCTTCAACAGTAACAACAGTGATTGTGTGTTGGTTTCTGTGTGCTGTCAAAATGTGGGTGCCCTAGACTCAATACTGTACCTGAAGGATTCCTACATACAGTGACAGTGAAGGAGGACTGAATCTGCTGCGGCACTGCCAACATGCCGCTTTCATTAATCTGAAAGAAGTTGGCTACTGTGGCTCAGGAGTAGAGCGGGTTAGCGGTTCGATCCCTGGTTCCTCTTGTCCACAGGCAATGTTAACAAAGCCAAAGCCATTTACCATTTTACTTTCTCTACGCATCCAGTATAGACAATGAATAACTTGTAATGCCATAACAGTGTAAATAAAGGGAGTAAAAGTACACAGTTCAAAGGGTTAAATGGAAAGCGTGAGAGTGTATGCTTACACTTCGTCCATCTCTACGTCCTCCTCGTCCTGGGGAAGCTGAAGATAGGGATTATTGGACGCTGGTCGGAACTTGTAGCCCGTCAACACAAAAAAGATCAGAGTAGACACCTCGACCAGAAACTGAAGAAACATGAGAAGGAGTGTGTTTGATGACAGAAGTTGGGAAAATTATGATCAAAGATAATACAGATAAATACTGCGCACAGCTGCCAATCACTTCTTGCTACCTGCACTTTTTTTGTTAACACAAACAATTTTTCCCCCAACCAGCATGCAAACAAGTTTCATATAACTAGCATCAGCCAATCTAAATATACATCCCTTAGTCCCTCCTCTTTCTTGGTGCTAATGCTAATATCCTTTCAAACCTCTGGTGGAAGAATGGTGTTCTTGACCATTTACTAAATAATAAAGGGATTTAAATATGTAATCTGTTTGCCAACATCACACTGTCACATATCTTCAAGTAATACTTCCAGTCAAGTATGACCAGTCACTGCTGAGTCAGAGTAAAGAACAGGATATCTTTGACCTTTTACAAACAGGTGCTCCTCAAAGTAATAAAAGTCAGCTTGTCATTGAGCATCATTGTTGTCATCTTACCTCATAGCACCACTGCCACTGGAATGGCATGGTGACCTTGAGCAGAATAGCTATGATCCTTGTAAAGTAGATGTAACACACAATCTAGAAAGAAGAAAACAGAATTCAAACATTGTTATACACGTTAGGTCAGTGTGAACAACAAACAGTGTGTGGGGTTGTCTGTATCTCTTTTGTTCTGGCTCTCCAGCAGTGACTGTGGTGAATGAGAAGCCTGGAGTGGCTTTGCCAAAAGCTATGACTCAGTAGAATTTATTGTAAGAATAATGCTTGACACCAAAACATGTTTTATTAAACAAATAATTTTTTGAAACAAATCAGCAGCATCGTCAACAACTTGGGGATTAAGCTATCTCTACTGAGGTAGGCAATATTGATGGATAGACGGAGGGATGGTGGGATCGAGGACAGAAGAAACATACTGCTGAGCTGAACTCTTTCTTACCATCACATAATAATGCCGAAAGAGCTTGAGCTTCTCCAAATTCATGGCAGCTGAAAGAGACATGAACCAAATTTAAATTAAAGAATTACAATCTCTACAACTCCTTTCGACTGTAACTGATCTGGATTCTCACCTTTGCCATCGCTGCTAGAAGCCTCTTGTAGATGACGGATAGACCTATAAAGACAGGTTTGTTTGAGAACTACAAAACACATGTGCACACAGACTGAAAATGTTACTTACCGTCATGGGTGAACCTGCATACATGGTCCATGTAACACTTTGTTCACTTTTCATTCAAAAACAAAACAAAAAAAGTCTATCAATGATCTTGTTTTGTAATTTTAGACCTCGAGATTTTGGCTTAAAAAGTGTCTAATTGGCTGCTGGTGTCACCGCTTGTCCTCACGCTTGCATTTGAGCACTACCTATGTTCTCCGGGCAATATTGATTCTTTTCTACTGCTGTCAGTAAGGGAAATTTATTCTTCAAAATGGACTGAAAATGGGGCACTTTGGATGCTGTAGCGTACTCAAGGTGCCCTGTTTTGCTATGAAGATCTTCTTATCTCAACGAGCCTGTGTGGAAACTACCAACTGTTTATACACTTCAGTCTCAACTCAATTTTCAATGGATTTTTTAAAATGGAAAAAGTAACTGATACACATTAGATGCACCACACACACACACACACACAAACCACACACACACACACACACAAACACACACACACACACACACACACACTGACCAGACAACAGGAAAAAGGATGGCTCCGCAGCAGATGAGGTCGACCAGAAAGAGGATCTCCTTCCACACATAGTAATCACTGGAACCTTCCTCTGTAGACTCAATGATGATGTAGGCGACATTAGCCAGGACCTGCAGGATGAGAGGTGAGCTGATCACCAGAACAAATTCACCGGGTGTAAATAATCACACACAATTGCCGTTTCTCATGCACACACACACACACACACCTGCAGGGGGATGACAATCATGAAGATCTTCTTTTCCTTGTCAGACAGGATGTATTTAACGAAAGCCCAGCCGGTGCCAATCAGTGCCAATGTGATGAACAGGAGAGCCCCCTTGAGCCTGGAAAGCACATCATTACAAACTGTGAATATTAAAATATGCTAAATTAGAGTCTTAACTTTAAACTTCATTGCCTGTGTGCAATTGTACTTACAGGTGTGTGATATAATACATGACAGCCCAGCCTTCAATAGGATGCCCCTCAGTGTTGATGAAGTGATAGTTGATCTGAGAGAGACAGAGAGAGAGGTTGTATTAAAAGACAAAGAATCCAGGCGTACTGTGAACACAGTTAGCAATACAGACAGAATAAACAGACATAACAGAGAGAGCACAATAAAAGCCAAATACAAACATAATATGTTACAAAAGAGACAATGGTCTGCTCTGTGGTGAAGGTGCGCTTACACTATGGAAGACCAATGATGTGGATTTGGTGAAGGCCAGTGCTGCCATCAGCCAGTGGATCTTAAACACGCTGTACCTGTAAGCAAAGCACACAGGGGAAAGATGTTTGAATATGTTATAGAGTAGAGAATGGGTACCGCTGTGGTGATGGGTGTAATCATTCACACTGCTAAAGTTTCAGTATAGTCCTTAGTATGTTGTGTATTAACAAAACAAAACTGTAACACACAGTCCCCCCCCCCACAGAAAAAGTGTGTGTGGTGCTCTCTTCTCTGTGTGTGCTGCAGTCTGCTCATTATCCCCGCCCACTCTGGGCTCGCGCATGTATCCCTAAAAACAGATAAGCCTAGGTCTACGTGCAATGAGAAAATTGATTTATGAGCAGTTTGCAATTAACTCTTAAGACAACAACCTACCGTAACCCCCCCTCCCCGCCCTGCCGCTAATCGTTCACAACATAGTCAGACTGGTCACCAGAGCAATGAGAGAAATGCCGGTGCTCCTGTTGCTCAGTGACAGAGACACATCGGCGGCAGCTGAAGCGGTCAGACAGAAGAAAACCGGGAGAAGGTTTGGGTTTGGCTCAGCTGGCTATTTAACGTTAGGTGCCTGTATCGGTGCCTTTAGTTGTTCAACAAATTCAACTTTTCATAGAGCCGATGTGCTTGTCAGTCACTTTTTGTCAACCAACCAATCACAGCCTGGAAGGGGCGGGACATTAAAAAAGGTTGACGTGCTATCATTAAATGTTGTACAATATGATTATTGACAAGTTAGTACTCAGCATTAACAAATTAGAGACCAATAAAACATTTTGCTTGCACAAGGATCTAATGAATAAAAACAACCCACAGAAATGAAACTAATGGAAATGGATTTAATATTCAACCAGTGGCTAAAACGTATACTATTAAATTAAATTATAATGATTATAGTAATTAATATAATATTGTTATACTAACAGTAAACTATTAACTGAACATTATACTCTTTATGTAATACCCTCATGTACAGTTCCTCCTCCAGTTTGTTGCTAGAGACTCTGCATTTGACAGATGTACATTGAACCTGTGCGCCAATATTTGCTGCCTCTAGCCTTCTCCTCCGTAGGAACACCCTCCCCTTGTTCTGTTTTACTTGTTATTTTTATAAATATTGTTTTATTGTTTAACTTTGTTCAAGTTGAGAAATACACATTTCAAAATGTCAGTATTTTGCACATTACTTGATAATTAAGCAAGTAGACTCAATGTACCATTTGTTCCATTATAATCTAATCGCAAATCGTCCTAATTTTGACAACAAACGAAAGCATTAACTGAAAAAAAGTCATAAAGAAGAGTCACTAGCACTTTCTTACATTTACTGCACAGTTCTGTTAATGTGAAGCACCTGTTTTGGTCAACATTGTATGCATTTAAAAAGCAGTTGACAATCAGTGTTTTCAATTGATATAATATATTTTCAATGATTGATTTATATACTTATTTAAATGCACACTTGAATTAATAAAACCCACTGTTTAATTACTGGTTACTAATTTGTTGTTAAGTGGAAAGTTACTAAACACAAAATTGCGTGGCATCCCTGACTATGCTAGTATGCATGTCTCTCACTGGGTAGCCCTACAGAGGACCAGAGATTTTTCTTGGCTTCAGTTAAGGTTCTAAGTATGGGGAAAAGTCAATATTTATTAGTTATTAGCTACTCTAGCAAGGTGGCTCCAAGGACTGAAATGCCAGTCTGCTGTGTTTTGGTCCACCACTTTGGTCCAGACTGAATATTTTAGCAACAATAGATCTTTTTTATAGCAGACATTTTGGCAAGTTACTGTAGAAAAAAAACCCAGGCATAATTGTTTACATTGAAATCAACAGCATTGCATTTAGGTGAGCCAGTTTCAGGATTCCGGTGTTGTGCATGCTGGCTCACAGTCATGGCTTACTGAATGGAAGTGAGCGATTGTTATCTACATTTTTTCATCTGTGCTTTTCCTGCTATGACAAGTCAAAACGTCTGCTTTGAAAAAGGTCTTTTGGATGGAAATAGACGAATGGATTGAATGGAAATTTTGTACAGACCAGAGATGGGAATTTCAAGCGAAAATACCATTGAATAGACACTGGGAACTATTTGCCATTTCCAACAGCCTCAGCTGCAAAATGAGCAAATATTAGGATACTAATGATAAACATTATGATGTTTGTCGTGTTATGACATTAACATGACGACATTACATTGGCATGTAAGCCTTTGCATTGAGAGCATGTCAGTATGCTGCTGGAACATTGTGCCCACGTTCAGCCTCACAGAGCTGCCTGCTAGAATAGCTGTAGACTCTGTGGATGTTGTAACAACAGGATATGCAAAAAAAACACATCTCTGCAAAAAGTCCTACCATGCATGCAGCAAAGTGATTTGGCATCTTTAAATAAGTATACTGAAGTACTGTGAGCAGTCATGTTAGCGTGTCTGTATGCATGTGTACCTGTGCTTCATGAGTGTGTACACCCAGATCATGGCAGCGGTGAAGAAGACTCCAGCCATACCAATATAAAGGCGAGAGAGAGGAATTTCTGCTGCAGACAGGTAGCCGCCTGGATTCTTCTCAGTCACCTCCACCTGCAGAGGATACATTCAGGTTAACCCAGGCACACAACTGAGCATGTACCTACTAACACAAAACACATGTGACTTACAGTGAATGAATAGGGTAACTTTGGTCCAGCCACCCTGTTCTTACAGTAGTGGAACTTGAGACTGTACAGACCCTCCGCCAGCTTGCCGATCAACATCTGGAACTGTGGGAGAGGGACAGAGACAAAATCATGTTACACAACAGTAAACCACATCAAACGATGTTTCAAGTCACATATAAAGGTTAAGAAAGGTGTACTTACACTGAAGTTGTAGGAGCCGCTAAAATTACCCAAAGCTAAGGTCATGTGGTCGAGGTTCTTTAGCTAGAAGCAAATACAGATTAGAAATTATAATATATTAATAGATCACACAAACACAGACACACAAACACCCCTTACCTCGAATAACTCTTCCTCCACTTTCTCAGATTCTTCTGCAGGCGCCTTTTCTTCGATTGGATCAACTTTCTTCTCATTCACATCATCGTCCTTTTTGTTCAACTGATTCGATTTAACACCTGACTGGTCAGCATTTTTGATGGTCCCACTCTCTGATGTTTTACCCTCACTTGGTGTATCGATAGGACTACCAGGAGCATCCCTGGTTTTCCTCTGACCTACAGGACACATCAAGCTACCAGTCATATGCACTTGAATTCACAAAATGGTTATTTTTAAATTCTCACAGGATTTTAAAGTGCAGTACTGATTCCATAATTCATTCTGGTGCTTAAATAAGAATAAATTGCTGGATGAATTTGTGACAGTTGTAGTGTGTGTGAGCAACACTGACCTTTATCTGTTTCAGGCTTTGTCTTTGCTATCAAGATATTGTCCTGGGCACCCATAACTCTCACATTGACACTACACAAACACACAACACACATTAGTCAACTATCACAATAGGTTTTTTTAGGGCACAGTAACAGATACTTCTGAATACTTAAATACGAAACATACACACCTGCAAGAAACGATATCAATAAGAAAAAGAATGAGAGGCTCATCATTGGCTGGCTTTGGGAGAGTGAGCGGGCATGTCTCTTGTGTCTCCTCTGCCTGGAAAAAAATCACAACAAGTAAATTACATTTGAACAGTCCAACGCTCATCTTACCACTAAATGTTATGTTCAACAGAAATATTTACGATTGGATGTACTCACTGTGTAGGACAAGACTCCACTCACACGGGACCTGGAGAGGCTGAAACCGACCTAAAGAGAGTGTCATAAATGTGGTCAGTCAATGAGTCAAAAGCACATGACTTCATTTCCATTAAAAATATGATATTTCACTCTTCATGGCCATTTACTGTCATCATTCAACACTCCATATATTAGAACTCTGGCTGCATTTATGAGCTCCCAATGTTTTCCACCAACTTCCAATGGCCAAAGTAAAATAAGCAGTCAAAGCAAAGCAGGTTAAACTACTCATCCCACAAGTTTGAACGTAAATTAGTTCACTATTTTGAGATTGTTGTGGTGAGTTGGCCTGAGATTTTACTGCAGCTGGAAAACTCTTACTCACTGACACTCTACTAAATTGCTTCAGGAGCAATACCCCCGACAATGTACTGTGTATACTTGAGACAAAAACTGTCTAAATATGAAGGTTATCTCTTCAACGGCTCTGCTAAATGGTTTCCTTTTAGTGTATAACCCCATTATCACTGCCATCTTACAGGAAGTCTTAGCTCTGTATTAAGGCAAGACAAGACTTCGTCAGACCCACTTATTACTTTGTGTTTGAGCAGCATATGGAGGCTGTGCTGCAGAAGATCCATGGAAAGAAACTGTCAGTAGTCAAGTAATAACCTAATCAATAGGGGACAATTCACAGTACATTGTCGTTGCAATGCATTTATTCTGAATGTTTTTTTTGTATGGCTTTATTGCAGAAACATGTATTACCGTGACAGAAATACAGTCATTGGAAAAGGAAGACAAGGCTTTTGAATTAAAGAGCAGAGGAACTTAGGTGATCCACCCAGCTCGATCAACCAGACAAGGCACCACTGCGGGTGCACTGATTGTGCAGAGAAGAGGAGAGAGCCAGGATAGGAGCCATGTTGGCACCGCTTGGACATAAAATTGTATGTAAAGGTGTCTGGACAAAATGGGACTTGAGCTGGCCAAGCAACCAAGATTAGGGACTGTTGTGCCCACATCTTCACAGGTGTCTGTGAAGATGTGGGCACAACAGTCCCTAATCTTGTCATCAACATCCCGGATCAAGCAATCAGTGGACACACTGTGTTTCCAAGCTGACAGCACAAGATTCCGACAAGATAAGAGGAGGCGGACTGTGTATTACATCCATGATACTTTGTTCTGAAAGATGCAAGTTTAAAAAATGCACTTCAGAATTTTCTGGTTTATGCATGTAGCCTATGTACATACACATGTATAAAAAAATAAAAAAAGAGACATAATTAAGAAAAACTTAAATGCAAACTGTTATCCCAGTCTATGTGCACTGTATAAAATTTAATCTTAATCAGGTGAAACTGTGGGATTCCTTTACACAGTAAGGCTGGCATTTTTGTATGTTTTGCTTACTGTCTATAAATACCATTAAAAGACCCAAATTCATTAGTCTTTGAATCTCTCTTAATATTTTGTGTCCATTTGTTTTTATTTGTATAAAGCTGGCAAGATTTACTGCACCAGGACGATGTACTGGGATTGACTCAAAAGTGCCTGTGTTCATGGTAAAACAGGAACATGTAATCTTGAGCAACATCGTGGCCTATTGATGTGTTTTTAATAATGCTGGGAGCTCTGTGGCACACAGGGGAATACATCAGAAGTGGATTTGGTAGGATCAATTCATTGTTTGTTTGGATCTTTTCATGAGATTAATTGGCCCCAAGAACATAAAAAATATATAATATAAATCAGCCTTCCTTTCATTTATTCAACAATAACTATTTAGAAGCACATAATTCTGCCTGCTGAAAACTGCATTGGTGGCTAACACTGTGACAACAGCGCACAAGTTAAAACAACTCTCACAAAAACAAACACTACTTACAGGGTACTTGCTGTAGTTCACCCCGTCCTCTGGCAGGCGCAGAGAAAGCAGGTTGACATCCAGAGTCGCGTTAGCAAAGAAGCCAAAGTTGTTGAGGTCGACGGTAACCCGTGTTTCATCCTGAGAGGAAGAACAAATAAAAACTGTGGGGACCTGATCTGCTGTGGCAAATTGCTCAGTCGTTGTAACGTTACCATTACAAGTGAAATTCACACGCAGATGAGTTAGCGATTACCACCCTCAGAAGTTACGTTTTATAACTTTTTTTCAAATTCATTTTCACATCGTCACAACAGCACGACACTCTCTTTTGGATCACCGTCTGTCAAACCTAGCTGATTAAAGCGTAACTTACAAACGTTAGCTAGCTCATAAAATCGTAGCGGTGACTATACTCTACATTAGCCCCCTAGGTAACATAACTCTAGTTTAAAAAGTCGTCTTACCTTCAGTGTGAGCTTGTGTATCCTTGCTTTGCAGCCAGCCAAGAGTAATACGAGTAAATATCCAGCCACGACACAACCTCTGTGTGCCACAGCCATCACCAATCACTAACTCGCTAACGTTAACTAACTGCTACTGTTAGCGAGATGCCAGATGGCTAAATAGCTAGCTAGCTAGCAGTCTTAACAGTATCCGTGGTGAATTACAATGTTGTTAATCTTTAAATGCAGCGCATCTGTCCTTTAACTACGTCGTTTATTATCAATTTATAACCTTTTATGTTATGTTTTTTCGATTATTTTGTGCCTTCGTCGCATAAAGAAACAGCTAGCCTGTGCAGATGGCAAAACTCTCGCTTCCGGGTCTTGCATCAAGAAAAGTGAGCAAGGTACGGACATAAACGTCAACCGTATAAGCTCACATCCGGTGATATGATTCAAAATAAAAGAAAAAGAATAAAAATAATATGTTACGATGCAGGAAAATCGACGAAAGCAAGGTCATTTTGAATTATATAAGCTCAAAAGTCAATGCTCAAATATACGTTAACTTTCTGTCAAACAATCGAGTTTTTTTACTTCCACAGTCCTGACTATACCCTGTGCTAGTTGTCCTAGATGTGGTCACATGGTTCAGCTTTTTGACACGGAGCTTCCGGCTGAAAGTGATCACATGAATGACCCTCCACGTCAAAAGAAGTCTCTGCCATGTATGAACATAGAGTATTCAGAGAAATCTTACATGTTGTTGTTATTGCTCATAAAAGAGATGTTTTTATTTTTCATTAAAGAAAGTTACTGATAAAAGCTCTATAATAGTTGGTTCTTATTTGTACTCCAAGCTTTACATAAATAGTTTAAATGCTAAAAATAAAATTTGGTGGTATTAGGTTAACGTCACATGGCCCAATAAATACAACCAGCCAAAGCCAAAAAGGTTTTGGTTTACGTTTTCTGTGATTTAAACATTAATTAACCAATTATAAAGAAGATTTAAACACAACGCTGGCATTTTACAGAACCACCTTGGCAAACGTTATAGCAAGCACTTGCTTAGTTTCACATCGATATGGGGCTCTGTTTTGGTGCTGCTGAGAATGACACTGATGAGAGTTCCAAAAGTAAAGTTGCGGCTTTAAAACCAAAACAATGAGCTGAAAGGGCCTTAAACATTCTGTAGCACTGAGAAAGAAGATTCCATTTATAAAAATATTGATTAAAAATTGTGTACATTTTTTGAGCAGCACCAGCAAATGGCAATGGCATAGCTTGTGACTTATTCCCACTTGAAAAGTGTGAAACTGACAGACATTTGTGAACAGTGTAGGCTAACTAATATTCTCATATTATCATAATATCATCATCATCATCATAATTGCTTTGTTGCATTGCTGGAATTGAGCCAAATACAGTTGTTAGGCAGTTTGACAATACACTATGAAGCTATCCCATGAACAATTTATTGAAATTTTTAATAAGGTGTGAAGCCATTCGACATCATTGACAATATGTGTTACTGTGTGTTAATGTTCATAATAATTGATACACCAGAGGTGCCTTGGATGTTGGGTGCCAAGGTAACGCTTTTCCCTGGGCACAAACTGTTGGCACCAGCAACAGGAGTCAAACCAGAAGAAGGGGAGAAGAAAGGTGTATGAAGGGGGATTTATGCAGCTGTTGATGATGCCCCTGATGCTGAAAGACATATGCAGCACGTCACTGTAGAAGACTTCTTTCACAGCTCGGTATGTTAGAGATTTAGTATCAAAGATTTGACAGAGCAGCACGAAAACCATCTTTCTAAAACATTCATCTCCAATTAAAAAGAAAACAAACTTGAATATCATTGTCTTCATGATCAAAAGAAACATGCACAAATTACAACAAACTATGCGTGATGTGGTGATAGACTATTTTTAGTTTCTAACTACTGTCGAATAAGACGTTTGACAACTGCAAACCACAAGTTCCAGTTCATGTTACAGAGAATGAGTCTGACTAAAGGGCTGGGTTTAATAGTTCTCCTATGAATGCTTATGCGTGAAAGCAAGACAAAGCGCATGTGCTAATCACTATTAGACATTTCCCACAAGAAAATTTAAGATTTAAATTAGAGAGCTAAGTTAAATCCACTGAAGTTGACAAGCTGCTCACGTTGTTATCCCTCCCATGAGTCTACATCAAAGTTTTTGTTTTTCAAGTTTGTTCAAATTTAGACTTTATTCAACAGATGCATATTGCTTAACTGAATATTTTGAGAGCTTGGAGAGCTAAGGGTCAAGAGTGCAGGTGTTAGATGTTCAGTATTATTAAAATTTTACAAATTAGCCGGCAAAACTTTTCTAAAAAGATTCTATCAAGAAAAACACAGAAATTAAGAATCAAAGATAATAAGCATGCAGATTACTTGATTTCGGTAAAGCAAAAAAAACAACAACACATCAGATATAAATAACAATCAAGTCCTCGTCCCTCTGGGTTAGTGGACAAGACAGCATTATGGGATGAAAAGCTAAGAGAGGATAGCCATCAAAAGTCAACTTACCCACCTAAAATGCAAGTCACAATAACTCAACTGATAAAATAACTGATGGTCATGTTTTATTTATGTCAAACACATTGGAATGAAATGACACAGCTTCACTCCTTTCCCGGTTATAACTATTAACTGGATTTATTTGATAACAACAGTTTTTAAAGAATCATATAATGTCTCACATCAGATAAATTTTCAGGTACATTCTCATTGTTGTACCACAGTGGGGGTTTCTTTGGTCCTAATCTGCCTCTGTGCAAGGAGAACAAGAGGTTTGATTCAGAAATACAGATATTTTATGGTCCACAAGAGATGTCACATCAATGTGACCCCAGCACCACCTGCTGACAACATATGGAGATGACAAGCACCTGTAAATGACTGAAATGTGAGGATCAACACTTTCCATTCTATTAAAATGAGCTGAGGGTACTTGGTCTAAAAACAGCTTTGAAAGGGAAATGTATATTCTGCAAAACCTGGTGTCATATCATGGTCATCATTAGACAGGAACTTGCTCTGTGAGACTGACAGTCTGACAGTGTCAGATATTAACGGTGGCCCAGACAACAAGAACCTTTCAAAGATAAAAGAGATCATGAAGTTATCATCAATTATTGTTTACAAAAATTAGATAACACTTGCACTGAAGTCCCTTTAATAAGCATTATGTAAACCTTTAATACATGATATAATGTAGTTGTAAGCAAATATTTTAGTGTTTTTTAATGTATTTTTCAACAACTGTAACTTCTCCTGAGAACACCCATAAGTGGAGGCTGGTTATTATAGACAGATAATGAATGACAATATACTCAAAAACAGTTGTAATTATATCAAATATGTCTTATGTGAAGTTGATGAAATACTGTACATTAATAAACACATAAAAATGTCCTCACATATGCTTATAATTACATTATAGTGTGTTTTATACCATTTATTACACATCTGTAAACTGCTTATAAATGGACACTTAAATTGGTGTTACCAAAAAGTATTATTCCAAGGCTTTGAGAAACTGTTTCCATCTGATTGGCTGGGAGATATTCTTTGGCTGTTCATGTTTTTTCCACATGATATTTAATGACCATGGTTACAATGTATGAAGGTTTCCATTTTACAGTAAACATGAAATTGTACATGGTGAATAATAGTAAATGTCAATCACATCAATATTTGGAAAAATATAATGTGTATTCTGTCCCACTCACCCCACTCAGTTTCTGTTTTATTCGTTTATTTATTGAATGTTATATTCAATGATCCAGATGTGCTGGTGACTGTCGGAGCGATGATCACGCCTCCTTGCTGAGCCGACATTGTGAAAGGGGCAGCACGAGATTCCACAGCAGTGGAGGAGGTGGTGGGTGTAGCTGTTTTTCCCTCTGTAGATGAAAAGATACAGATGCAGAGAATTAAAAACTGGAAAGTAAGTGATTTTGGTTTCTTTGACTCATAAGTGATTTCAAGAATTTCGTCATCCACTGCACCTGTATATTTGTTCTCTAACTTCCCTGCGGTGTCGTTGAAGTTCATCTTCTTCAGAATCTCAATGGTGATGTTCACAGCATCCTCCTCACCGTAGCGCTCTATCATCTTACTCACAGTTTCCGTCCGGGATGCCTTATCCAGATGGGACCTGGGAATTGGTGCGCAGCTGCCCGAGACATGCATTGAGAGGTACCACTTAAGCATTTTGAGGTCATCATCGAGCAGCTCTTCCAGAGTCCCCAGGAGAAGCATTGGAACCAGCATGTCTGCTCACTACAACAAGCAGAAGAGGGGAAATTAGTTTTGCAGTTTCCAGATTGGCCTTCAATGTTAAAGGAATAATTTGAGAATACTCTTAATATGCTTTGTTGCCAAAAGTTAGGTGAGAAGATCAATACCGCTCTCACATCTGTCCTATTTGTGGTTTTACAGGTGGTTATGTGCCAAACGATAGGGCTGCAGCTAACAATCATTTTTATCATAGAATAATCTGAACAATTTTTTTGATTATTCGATTAATCATTTTGTCTATATAATGTCCCTGAAATAGAGAACTCACATTTCCCAGAGTCCACAATGGCTTGTTTAAATAGCGTGTTTTGTCCACATAACAGTCCAAAACCAGCACCTGGTACAGGTTATTGCTGAAACAAAACATTTTGCGACATTTGGCATAATAAAAGCCATGGTGGTGCAGCTCTACAATAAAGTCCAAGTTTATTATAAAGTTTGTCTTTATATTTGACAAAAAACCAACCCTAACCCTCCCAAACTAAAGGGGCACTTCAGCAACTTCATATTGCACGTTTACAAACAAAATAAAATAGTCAAAAATCGATGGAGCAGACTGTGCCACAGAAGACTTTATTTGACTGTTCTCACAGCCTGCATGATGATGAGTGCATTTCCTTTAAGAACTAGTTTAAAAAGACAAAGTATTTTTGATGTTGAGATAGGATTTACCAACTCAAAAAGTTCTTATTATTACTCATATAGCCTACCCAATCTATTAAGCATTAGTAGATGATTTATTAAAATTATTTGGTGGATACCAGAAACACTTAAACATTAAAACAAATGAACAAACGGGCTGAAAACATCACTCAGAAAATAATGGGATGACTTCATTAAATACATAAATCTGACAAAAACCGCCTATTGAATCCAACGTCGAAAGTACGATAGATTTTCAGTGAACAGCACACAAGTCTGTGTCAACAGGCGCCGTCAGGTTTTATACACTTCTGCTGTAACTTTAATAATTTCATTGGACCAGATGTGGAACCAGCGCAGCAGCAGTCGGGGCCACACGAAAACCAAAGATTTCAAAACTATGTTATGCAAAACCGTGACTTACCGTGTCAAAATCA